TTTGCTTCTCAATATACTCTGGTTGGACTCTATTATTTTCTTCTACTGATAGGGAACCCACTTAAGGGCTCGGGCTCCAGAATACCACATAAGGAAAAGGGAGCAGTTTTTCTTATAACAATAAAAAAACAGAGGACAAAGGGAGACACATCTCTGCCTACAAGTGTAGTACAGTGATACCTCAGGTTACAGACGCTTCAGCTTACAGACGCTTCAGCTTACAGACTCCGTCAACCCAGAAATAGTACCTCAGGTTAAGAACTTTACCTCAGGATGAGAACAGAAATCGCACAGTGGCAGCGGGAGGCCCCATGAGCTAAAGTGGTACCTCAGGTTAAGAACAGTTTCAGGTTAAGAACGGACCTCCAGAACGAATTAAGTTCTTAACCCGAGGTACCACTGTAATGGTAACTTGCATCAGTGTGCTTCAGAACGTGACAAGCCAATCCTGCAGTGTTTGGGAGCCCTTCTGCTAAGTGGGGCCCTGGATGTCTGCCCCAAAACTTTGCTCTGATGGGCCGCTGGTACGGTTGTTACCATCTCAACCCCAACAAGGGAATTCTTCCAGGTGTGGCACTATCCGCCATGACAGCCCAAGAATGTCCTAAGAAAGAGGTGAGGGACCTCAGGGCCCCGAGTCCATTTTCCTCAAGCTGCAGCCACCCATCCTTCGTCTGACATCATTGGTGATGTCAGCTGATGGGCAGGAGGACAGGGTTTAATCCTGAACTGGCTGCAGGTTCCTGTTCCCAGCAGAGGACCGGCCCCCCACAGCCAAGGCAGCAGAATTAAATCTGCTGAGCTACTTCAAAGAGACTGTTGCAGAGGCTTTACGGCAGCACCTCCACTCTGGTTTGCTCAAATGGAGTAAACAGTCTTAAAGCAGTTTGCCAAATCTCTCTGAGGTAAAAGGTAAAGGACCCCTGACAGTTAAGTCCGGTCGCGAACGACTCTGGGGTTGCAGCGCTCATCTCACTTTATTGGCCGAGGGAGCCGGCGTACAGCTTCCGGGTCATGTGGCCAGCATGACTAAGCCACTTCTGGCGAAACCAGAGCAGCGCACAGAAACGCCATTTACCTTCCCAGCGAAGTGGTACCTATTTATCTACTTGCACTTTGACATGCTTTCGAACTGCTAGGTTGGCAGGAGCAGGGACCGAGCAATGGGATCTCACACTGTCGCGGGGATTCAAACCGCTGACCTTCGGATTGGCAAGCCCTAGGCTCTGTGGTTTAGACCACAGCACCACCTGCATCCCTCACCAAATCGCTCTACCCCTCTTTAAACATTGGTGGAGTGCTGTTTACGAGGAGGTGGTACTGCTTCAGAGAACGGCTTGACCGAAGCTCCCCATTGCTGCTGCCACAGCTACCATGCAGAGGAGGAAAAAAGCCTGCATTTCAAAATGCAGAGGTTTCCCCCCTCCCGTCTTGCAGTGGCAGAAGCAGACAGTGAGGAATGATGGAGAGAAAACCTTCAGCTCTCCCCTTGAACATCTCTTTTAAACCTCTGCAGGAGGCTGTTTGAAGGTGTGCCCTCGCCCCATCAGCTGATGGACAGTAGGAAAGAACAAGTCCCCCTTCCGTGATTCTCCAAACCTCATTTGAAATAGAATCGCGGAGGGGGGGTGGATGATTGAAAGCCCTCTACAAACTTTCCTGCATGAGGATGTTTGCAAAGGGCTGTTTCAAAGCCCTGCAGTTGACTTTTAAGTCTCTACAATCAAGGCTTCAAAAGGAAGTGTTCCCTGGATGCCACAGGCAGAAGGCCCTGCCCCCTGTAAAGCCAGGGGTGGGGGAGATAAAGATCTGGCTCTTTGGCCCAAAAATAGTCTCTCTGCCCACCACCATCTTAAGGAAACAATCAGGACCAAAAAGCAAGATTGGGACAGGTATGGACTGAATTCCACATATTGTTTTTAACAAACCATCCAGTTCCTTGGCTGCATCCTTCTAGTAATCATTTGCCGCAAGACACAAACCACCCCAATTTTGCTCCGTTCCACTCACAGCAGCTTGATTATAAATCCATGTCCACAACTAAGGTCATTAGTTAAGGTAAAGGTAAAGGGACCCCTGACCATTAGGTCCAGTCGTGGCCGAATCTGGGGTTGCGGTGCTCATCTTGCTTTATTGGCCAAGGGAGCCGGCATACAGCTTCCGGGTCATGTGGCCAGCATGACTAAGCCGCTTCTGGCAAACCAGAACAGTGCATGGAAATGCCGTTTACCTTCCCGCCGGAGCGGTACCTATTTATCTACTTGCACTTTGATGTGCTTTTGCACTGCTAGGTTGGCAGGAGCAGGGACTGAGCAACGGGAGCTCACCCCGTCGCAGGGGGTTCGAACCGCCAACCTTCTGATTGGCAAGTCCTAGGCTCTGTGGTTTTTTTTTAAAAAGTATAATAGCTCTCCTATATCATTTTATAGGATGCCATGCCAATCAGTGTGTAAACAATACTGAGCTATATTTTAAAAGGGGTGTTGTAATATGTTTGCACCAACGTTCACCTGTGCAAAGGTCTGGATTGGGCCTGATGCCAGCTGCCAAAAGCAGTGAGACTGGCTCAACCTTTCCTCACAAATTGCACACCAACGTGCATTAATCATAATGCGTAGCTTGGCTTCTACGTACGCAAAAAGGTACTTTGGCCAAAAACGGCAATTAATGCAACTCTTCAGTGAAAAGGAAGTATTTTGCAGGATAATGGATTTGAGACAAAGTTGGCAAGGTCCTCTGATTCCTTACAACCCATACCTGGGAATGCTTCACAGGCCAACTGGGAGAACCAGTAAATCTTTGTAGGCTAAGAACCAGAAGACTGAACTATCAAACAGGGCTCCTTTATTCTCACAGTGTTGCCCTTGGGTGCTGATATGTCTATACTCACTATTAGCCTTCTTTATATGAGAAGCAAATAAAGCATAAAACTGATCAATGTAATTGTAAATCAATCAATGTAAAGGTAAAGAATTGCTTAGAAGTATCTTATTCAAAAATGCCTCCCTTACTATAGACAGGAGTGTCTGGCGTGCTCTGGTCCATGGGGTCACGAAGAGTCGGGCACGACTAAACGACTAAACAACAACAAACTATAGAGGAATATTTGGAGTCATTGGGAGAGTCAAATTGCTTCAGGATTACTCTCCCATACTATTTCAGACACATGGTTGATATATTTAGATATATGCGCATTTAGGAATATTTATTCTATGTACAAGACCTTAAAATTCTTACACCATGATGATGCGTTTTCTCCTTGGGGACATTATGTAAGGGGCAGGAGCAGGTCAGCAATAAATAAGTCTTTCTTAGAAGAAGCAAGGTCTGCTCAGGAGTGGCAGATCTAGTGAGTACAGTAACTCTTTTCAGTAGTTCTTGCCCGTGGGAGGCAGTTGTGGAGACTAAAGGTCCCCCTGCCACCTTCCTACAGCTGCCTAAGCCTCCTCCTCCTCCTCTCCCAGGTCCTTCCCAAGCAATCGGAGACTCTGCTGCCTCAACTGCCATTGCTCCACCCTCTTCATGCCTCCACCTCCTTCAAAATGTGCACTTATGCCCATTCCCACTTCTGTTTGCCCCTTGAACCCGGCCTAGAAAACCGGGTCCTAAGCAGGTTTCCACTTGACCCATCCCTTTCAAAGGGGAAACCTGCCCCTGAGTGCAAATGTGAAGCAAACGTCCATCTGAAGAAAACCCAAACTGCTTTTTGAGTGCTAAAGAGCGATTTCCTGCAGGGGAAAACAGTGGGACAATGGGAAGTACAGAGAATAATAATAATTTATAATAATAGTTTATTACTTATACCCTGCCCATCTGGCCAGGCTTCCCTAATGTGCAGGTGAATTTTCATGAATTTCCTGAAAGGACCTACATTGGCTCCCAGTACGTTTCCGAGCAAAATTCAAAGTGTTGGTGCTGACCTTTAAAGCCCTAAACGGCCTCGGTCCAGTATACCTGAAGGAGCGTCTCCATCCCCATTGTTCAGCCCTGACACTGAGGTCCAGCTCCGAGGGCCTTCTGGCGGTTCCCTCAGTGCAAAAAGTGAAGTTATAGGGAATCAGGCAGAGGGCCTTCTCGGTAGTGGCACCCGCCCTGTGGAACGCCCTCCCACCAGATGTCAAGGAAATATCTGACTTTTAGAAAACATCTGAAAGCAGCCCTGTTTAGGGAAGTTTTTTATGTTTGATGTTTTAGCGTGTTTTTAATATTCTGTTGGGAGCCTTCCAGAGCTGCTGGGGAAACCCAGCAAGATTGGCGTGGTATAAATAATAAATTTGTTGTTGTTGTTACAGTGGACGCTCGGGTTGCGAACATGATCCGTGCAGGATGCACGTTTGCAACCCGCAGCGTTCGCAACCTGCAGTGGTGGTCTGCGGGCGCGCAGGTTGCGATTTGGCACTTCTGCGCATGCGCAAAGCGCAATTTAGTGCTTCTGAGCATGTGTGACCGCCGAAACGTGGAAGTAACCCGTTCCAGTCGTAGCTGTCAACTTTTCCCTTTTCTTGCGAGGAATCCTATTCGGAATAAGGGAATTTCCCTTTAAAAAAGGGAAACATTGACAGCTATGCTTCCGGTACTTCCGGGTTTCAGCGGGTCTGTCACCCGAAAAAAACGTAACCTGAAGCCTCTGTAACCTGAGATATGACTTATTATTATTAGGACTTTTTTTAAAACAACAACACGTATTTGCAAAGTGATGTGGAAAGGCAGAGATCTGAACTCAAGACTGTGGGAAAAGGAAAAACAGAGAGATACCAAAACCATCAGATTCACCCATCGCTATCTGTAAAGTATCCCCTTTCAACTGGAAGGTTGTGGTGCTTTGTGGCCAAGCAGTAATAGTTTGGGAGAGAGGTTTTTCCTGGAATCCTTTGCCTGGCTACTGTACGCGTAGGAGGAAATGGACTGAACAGGTGGGGGATTCCCCTCTTCAGGCTCAACTATTTAACTGGCAGAGCAGAGGAAGGCACAGGATCTCTTTCCTGCCCCTGCTGCAAAGCATGCTGCTTCCCGTGGGCATCACTGTGCTCCTCTGCCTGGGCACCGTGAGGGGGTTCCTCCCCAACCACGAATCGGGGGGCATCGATTCGACAGTCTTCACAGATGCAGACATCACAGAAGAAGGGGTCCTTCGGGCTGTTGCTCATTACATGGAGACGAACCCACTGCCCGGAAGATCTCCCATGGCCCCGGGAGAGCTGGAAAACATGAAATCGCTGACAGCGACCGAACTGTTCAGGGCCTTTTTCAAAGGTAGGCTTGGAAAACAGGAGTGTGAAGACTAGATCTCACAGCCCTCACAGAGGATTGCTTCTGTGCAGCCTATTCCTTTTCTATATCTCCACTGCCTCTTTTCTTCTTTTTCTTTTTTATTAATTTTAACATATAAATTATAAAACGTACCACAAAACTTATCACTTATACAATCCTTTTAGGCTTCCATCAGCACCTCTGATGATCCACCGTTTTAACCACTTCTTAGGCATTTCTTAACTTTATATTGCCTTTACATCTCTTAACAAATCATCCTCCCCCTTCTCCATTTTTACAACACGTCTAATAATACTCCTCACAAAACTTCTTGCAACCCGACGAACGTTGCCTGTTCTTCACAATTACTTTTCAAATAGTCCATAAATTTACTCCAGTCTTCCATGAATTTCTGGTCTCGTCGGTTTCGAATCCTTCCTGTTAGTTTATCTAATTCTGCATAGTCCATTAACGTCATCCTCCATCCTTCAATCGTCGGTAACTCTTCTTGCTTCCGAGAAGAGCAAGTCACTCTTCTTGAGAGCCAGTGTGGTGTAGTGGTTAAGAGCGGTAGTCTCGTAATCTGGGGAACTGGGTTCGATTCCCCGCTCCTCCACATGCAGCTGCTGGGTGACCTTGGGCCGGTCACACTTCTCTGAAGTCTCTCAGCCCCACTCACCTCACAGAGTGTTTGTTGTGGGGGAGGGAGGGAAAGGAGAATGTTAGCCACTTTGAGACTCCTTCGGGTAGTGATAAAGTGGGATATCAAATCCAAACTCTTCTTTTTCTTCTTGCCTCTTTTCACTTGTTCCCCACCCCCACCCCCAGCTCCTCACCACCCACATGAAATTAGGCTGAGGTTCATGAGCGCCTGGAGGGGACACAGCTTGCCCACCCCAACTTTTGCATAAGTCGGTGCTGGGGCTGTTTTAAAAAAGCACTTCCATTTTTCTGTATGGATTTCAGGGTTCGAAAACCAGTCATGCAATCTGTCCCCATTTTCTTTTTCTTTATATATAATTGTTTATTAAATTTTCCATTTCACAATTTAAAATACTCGTTTTAAATCCTTAAGATATCAATGACTTCCCTTCTTCTCCTCCCATGGTTCGTTTTGCATATCATAAATCCCTGCATGTTTTACAAAAACTACACCATTCAGTATTCCGTTATTGCATCCGTCAAAACTGTTTAATTTATCTTCATACTGCCAGCATTTTCTGCTGTGTACACAACTATTTCCCATATATTCAATAAACGTTTTCCAATATTCTTTGAACGTATGTTCTTCTTGTACTCTTATTCTATATGTTAAGTCTGAGAGTTGTGCTTATTCTGTCAACTTAAGTTGCCATTCTTCTCCAATTCGGACCTTGCTCATTTTCCATTTGGGGGCTAACAAAACATGGGCTGCAGTTGTAGTATAAAAAGGGTAAAGGGTCCATTAGGTCCAGTCGTGGCCAACTCTGGGGTTGCGGCGCTCATCTTGCTTTACTGGCTGAGGGAGCCGGCGTACAGCTTCCGGATCATGTGGCCAGCATGACTAAGTCGCTTCTGGAGAACCAGAGCAGCTCACGGAAACACTGTTTACCTTCCCACCGGAGCGGTACCTATTTATCTACTTGCACTTTGACGTGCTTTCGAACTGCTAGGCTGGCAGGAGCAGAGACCGAGCAACGGGAGCTCACCCCGTCGTGGGGATTCGAAGCGCCGACCTTCTGATCGGCAAGTCCTAGGCTCTGTGGTTTAACCCACAGCGCCACCCGCGTCCCTGCAGTAGTAGCATACATACTGGTAAATATGGTAAGCTTTTTTGACACCTGTCCCCTTTTTTTCTCGCACAGCTGACGTCTCTCCCAATCGATTAGTCAAAGCCATACAGGAACTCATCTCTGCAAATAATCAAGTGGAGGTCAGCTACGCTGAAAACAGTAACTACTTCTTCCACTGTGAAAAGATTGCCCCAAGTAAGGGGGAGCTGTGCCTTGGGGGAGAGGGGGGGTGGAGCTGTGTTTGGGGTGATGTGGGGAATTGTTGTTGATTTAAGAGAAACACTGAACTACTTGCTAGCACAGGTGGAAGGTACTTAATTAGCCATGCTATCTACAACAGTCATATTTTTAGAGCTCATGCTTAGTTTATCTGTATATTATTTTTATTATTATTATTATTATTATTATTATTATTATTATTATTATTCCCTGCCCATCTGCTGGATTTCACTAGCCACTCTGGGTGGCTTACAGCATACAGAAAAACATAGTAAAACATCAAGCATTAAAAACTTCCCTATACAGTGGTGCCTCGGGTTACAGATGCTTCACGTTACAGACGCTTCAGGTTACAGACTCTGCTAACCCAGAAATAGTACCTCAGGTTAAGAACTTTACCTCAGGATGAGAACAGAAATCATGCTCCGGCACCGCAGCAGCAGCAGCAGCAGCAGGAGGCCCCATTAGCTAAGGTGGTACCTCGGGTTAAGAACAGTTTCAGGTTAAGAACGGACCTCCAGAACGAATTAAGTTCTTAACCCGAGGTACCACTGTACAGGGCTGCCTTCAGATGTCATCTAAAAGTTGTGTAGTTCTTTATCTCCTTGACATCTGACGGGAGGACTTTCCAAAGGGAGGGGGCCACTACCGCGAAGGCCCACTCAGTGTCCGGGTTGAGTGATGAAGGTGGAGATGCTTCTTGAGATTTACCAGGCCACTGCTTACAGAAGATTTGGTTTGCCTAACTCAGGTTATGAAGCTTCTGGCCCTCCAGATGTTCTGGATATTATCATCTCCAGTAACAGCAACAACAAGAATTTTATCATTTATACCCTGCCCATCTGGCTGGGTTCCCCCAACCACTCTGGGAGGCTTGTAGCACATAAAAACAAAAAGGTAAAAAGGTAAAGGACCCCTGGACACTTAAATCCAGTCAAATGCAACTATGGGGTTGTGGCGCTCATCTCACCTTCAGGCCAAGAGAGCCAGTGTTTGTCCGCAGACAGCTTTCTGGGTCATGTGGCCAGCATGACTAAAGCGCTTCTGGTGCAACGGGGCACCGTGATGGAAGCCAGAGCGCATGGAAACGCCGTTTACCTTCCCGCCGGAGCGGTACCTATTTATCTACTTGCACTGGTGTGCTTTCGAACTGTTAGGTTGGCAGGAGCTGGGACAGAGCAACAGGAGCTCACCCTGTCACGGGGATTTGAACCGCCAACCTTCTCATCAGCAAGACCAAGAGGCTCAGTGGTTTAGACCACAGCGCCATGGGAGCTGGAATCTAACCATACCTGGAGAATCCCTAGAGAAATTCATTCCAGGGAAGAGTGCATGTTTAGGCTTGAGACTTGACATTTCTCTAGTTTAGAAGTTAAGAGTTCAGAGGAGGAACAGGGATATAAAAAGTTCTCCTGGGTTATCTATTCCCAGGTATAACACAGATGCGAAACCTGAGGGATTCCATGCTAAGTAGCTTAAAGGAACCTGTGAGTTCATCGGATTTGGAATCGGCTCGACAAAGTGCTGGACAAGCTCTGCACATCCTTCAACAATTCTACAGTAACACCAACTGGCCTGAGCTGGGGAAAGGTGGACCTTACGATCACCTCTGTAAGTCAAAATGGATCTGGAAAACTCTCTCTTGTTTTCAAAGTTAAACGTAAGAAGTACAGTGGTACCTTGGAAGCCAAATGGAAGCCGTTCCGGAAGTCCGTTTGACTTCCAAAACGTTTGGAAACCAAAGCGCGGCTTCCGATTGGCTGCAGGAACCTCCTGCAGCCAATCGGAAGCTGCAGAAGCCCCATCAGACATTTGGCTTCCAACAAAGCGTTCAAAAACCGGAACACTCGGGTTTCGATCGTTCAGGAGCCAAAACGTACGCATACCAAGGCGCTCGACAACCAAGGTATGACTGTATTACTTCAAAGAAATATAGAAGCATGCCATGGTTCATCCATTTGCATTCCAGGTCCCCAAACAATGCTATCCATAATCAGTATAAGAAATCCAATAACAACTCATTTGAGAGGTTTCATTGCATCCTAATATAAATATCTCCAATTGCGTATTTTTAATATATAGATCATTTGTTTAAAAACAAAGAATTTATTGCAATTATGGTAGAATTCCTCCTTTTTTGCATTCTTTCAAAAATGACTTTATTATTTGTCCCTGACCGGATGAGTGAGCTTGATCATATGCAAAACTAGGCAAATACATTCAAGAGATTCAGTGGGAATCTGCAAGACTGATCCAAAGCACCTTTTGCAAAAATTTTTATCTACCTGGTTTTTAAAACCGACATCCCTTTTTTCCACTCATGCTCTCAGATCACCGTATAGAATCATCATAAACCTGCCCGAGCTGCCGATTGTCAGGTTTACATGGAATTCAAGGGAGTCTAAAGCTGTGTACCCGCCATATATTTAAAGCACATTCCCCCTCTCCAAAGAATCCTGAGAACTGTAGTTTACTCACCACAGAGCTACAACTCCCAGCGCCCTTGGCAAACTACAGTTCCCAATATTCATTTTGGAAGGGAGACACACATGTGCTTTGAATGTATGGTATGTAAAGGTAAAGGGACCCCTGACCATTAGGTCCAGTCATGGCCGATAGAGCCAGTCGTGGCCGATATAGAGCTCCAGTACAACGTAACTGTAGCAATTTTCTAAAACTATCCAATCACTGAACGTCACTTTCGATCCCTTATTTGCATAACTATCTACAGTATCCCCTTGCTGGCCCAGGGTGAGAACTTCAGTACATAACAGCGCTCACCTTCGCTTTATTGGCTGAGGGAGCCGGCGTACAGCTTCCGGGTCATGTGGCCAACATGACTAAGCCGCTTCTGGCGAACCAGAGCAGCGCACAGAAATGCCGCTTAGCTTCCCGCCAGAGCGGTACCTATTTATATACTTGCACTTTGACGTGCTTTCGAACTGCTAGATGGGGCAGGAGCAGGGACCGAGCAACGGGAGCTCACCCCGTCGCGGGGATTCGAAGCGCCGACCTTCTGATCGGCAAGCCCTAGGCTCTGTGGTTTAATCCACAGCGCCACCCACGTCCCCGTATGGTCTGTACACAGACTAAAATAGGATTTTTTTCTCTCCCCTTATGTTTGCCCTACAGTAAACCCTGCCAGTCCTGCTTTCCCTGTTGCTCCCGCTTCTAAGGAAACCTGTCGCGACTGCAGCAAAGATGAAAGGTAGGAACCCATGGGCACCCATGGGTGATGGTTGAGGAGGAGAAACGGCTGCTTGTTCTATTGTGACCGTGCAGGCAGTAAACAACAGAGGAGTGCCACTGATTTGTGTTGCTCCGTAACACCTCAGAGTCTCCCTCAAGTGAAAATTGTGTAAGTGGGGAGCACCCTTCAAGTGGTAAATTTATTTCTAAGCAGTGCATTTACCAACTTCCACGTTCTCTGTTTAACAGCAACCAGCTTGTGTGCGATGGAAACATCCTAGTGAACGACCTGCTCACAAGTGGGTACAAGTTGACAGCATCATGCAGGCGCAAACCAAAAGGTAAGACCAGCGATTGTCGCTTTCCTGCCAGTTGTTGGGCATTTTCGTTTTCTTTGCATGTCATTGAAAAATGCATGGAGGATAGGTAGACACGAGGAAAGGCAACTTCTGAGTTCATTGCATGTCCGCACCTACCTCCTACATGCTGACTAAGAGACAAGGACTTCTCGGTGGTGGCTCCCTGGCTAAAGGAGTTTGCTTGCCGCCCAGTCAGCATGGCCAGTGGTCAAGGCTTGTGTCCAGCAACAACTTCTGGAGAGCCACAGATTCCCCACCACTGATGTGAAGACTAAAATGTCCACCTCGTTCCCATAACTGAAGCTTATGACCCTCACTACTGTGTTTCCCTAACTACTACTACTACTACTAATAATAATAATAATAATAATAATTTATTATTTATACCCCGCCCATCTGGCTGGGTTTCCCCAGCCACTCTCGGTGGCTTCCAACAAGACACTAAAATACAATAACCTATTAAACATTAAAAGCTTCCCTAAACAGGGCTGCCTTCAGATGTCTTCTAAAAGTTTGGTAGTTATTTTTCTCCTTAACATCTGATGGGAGGGCGTTCCACAGGGCGGGTGCCACTACCGAGAAGGCCCTCTGCCTGGTTCCCTATAACTTGGCTTCTTGCAGCGAGGGAACCGCCAGAAGGCCCTCGGTGCTGGAACTCAGTGTCCAGGCTGAACTCTGGGGGTGGAGATGCTCCTTCAGGTATACTGGGCCGAGGCCGTTTAGGGCTTTAAAGGTCAGCACCAACACTTTGAATTGTGCTCGGAAACATACTGGGAGCCAGTGTAGGTCTTTCAAGACCGGTGTTATATGGTCTCGGCGGCTGTTCCCAGTCACCAGTCTAGCTGCCGCATTCTGGATTAGTTGTAGTTTCCAGATCACCTTCAAAGGTAGCCCCACATAGAGCGCATTGCAGTAGTCCAAGTGATAGATAACTAGAGCATGCACCACTCTGGCGAGACAGTCTGCGGGCAGGTAGGGTCTCAGCCTGCGTACCAGATGGAGCTGATAAACAGCTGCCCTGGACACAGAATTGACCTGCGCCTCCATGGACAGCTGTGAGTCCAAAATGACTCCCAGGCTGCGCACCTGGTCATTCAGGGACACAGTTATCCCATTCAGAACCAGGGAGTCTTCCACATCTGCCCGCCCCTTTCCCCCCAAAACAGTACTTCTGTCTTGTCAGGATTCAACCTCAATCTGTTAACTTAAATGATCCAGCCTAGCAATTCTTCTCCTTCCTCCTCTTCTTCTTCTTCTTCTTCTTCTTCTTCTTCTTCTCCTCCTCCTCCTCCTACTCCTCCTCCTCCTCCTCCTTCTTCTCCTCCTCCTTTACATTTATATATCACCTTTATTTTACAAGGATCTCAAGATAGCGTACCTGGTTCTCCTCCTCCCCATTTCATTCTCACAGCAACCCTGTGAGGTAGACCCAGTGAGCTTCATGACTGAGTAAGGATCCGAACCCTGCTCTCCCAGGTCCCAGTCCAACACTCTATTACGCTGCACTGGCTCTTATGAAGAAGAAGAGTTTGGATTTGATATCTCGCTTTATCACTACCCGAAGGAGTCTCAAAGCGGCTAACATTCTCCTTTCCCTTCCTCCCCCACAACAAACACTCTGTGTGGTGAGTGGGGCTGAGAGACTTCAGAGAAGTGTGACTGGCCCAAGGTCACCCAGCAGCTGCATGTGGAGGAGCAGGGAAGCGAAGGCGGTTCACCAGATTACGAATCTACTGCTCTTCACCACTACACCACACTGGCTCTCACTTATGCCTCCTCCATTCTCTTTCCTATATTCTTTCTGTAGGCAAATGTGGACATGGCGGAAGAAATGACCCGGCCGAAATGTTCCCTACCACGGGGGGGATCAACAAGGAGACAACTGACCCCCGGCTCTCCCCGCACTATCAGTTGCATCAACAAGCAGCTGAACTGGCCATACAAGCCACAAGGGACTTCTTTGTAGGAGATGGTATGGTTCATTGACCTTTCAGCACAGGGATAAATAATACCTTTTTCTTCTTCCAGGCCTTTTATGACCTTGATATAGTTGCAACCCTTGTGGTGGTTTTAGCTCTTGTGATTTGTTTTGGCTGTGGCTGTCACTAAATTATGGGACTCCCTCCCCACAGAGGTGCATCACACACCTTCATCGTATGGTGTTTGTTGTGCTCTGAAGGCACGCTTGTGACACATGATATAGACATGGATCATTAGACACCACCTTGTTCCTGTAATTGTTTTAAACTGTTTCTTCGCGTAGCGTTTTAAACTGTTGTGACTTGCCCTGAGACCTTACAGTGAAGGGTGGGAAATACAGTGGTGCCTCGCAAGACGAAATTAATCCATTCCGCGAGTCTCTTCGTCTTGCGGTTTTTTCGTCTTGCGAAGCACGGCTATTAACAGCTTAGCAGCTATTTGCAGCTTAGCGGCTTGGCGGCTATTAGCGGTTTAGTGGCTTAGCAGCTATTAACGGCTTAGCGGCTTTAAGAAAAAGGAAACAAACTCGCAAGAACTCGCAAGACGTTTCGTCTTGTGAAGCAAGCCCATAGGGAAATTCGTCTTGCGGAACGACTCAAAAAACGGAAAACCCTTTCGTCTAGCGAGTTTTTCGTCTTGCGAGGCATTCGTCTTGCGGGGCACCACTGTAGATAAACAAACAAACAGGCCCATGGACCGATTCCTCACCCTGGACCTATGGACCTATCGCTTTTGTTCTTTTGCCCATAAAGACCATGTCACCATCCACCATGCCAGTCTGAGACAAGGTATAGTCCAATGAAAATAGGGAGGTCCTAAGGAAAAGTGGATAAGCATAACCTGTTTTTACTCCATTGTTGTTTTTCAGGGTACGGCCTGCTGGACCAGGTGGGCAGTGATACCTTTAAGAGGTTTTTCAACTTGGAAGGCTATTCACTCACCTTTGTAATAGACACGACTGGCAGCATGTCGGAGGATATCCACCATGTCATAACCACCAGCTTCAACCTCCTCCAGGAATTTTCCAGCTCCCCGGATAAACCCTTTAACTACATTCTTGTGCCTTTCAACGATCCAGGTGAGGGGGAAAAAGGCAGAGCTGGTTCTTCCCACGCCAAGTCTGCTTAGTCTGAAATTGCCTGCCTTCCTTCGCTCTGCTTTTTTTCCAGAGAATCCAAATAACATTGTTGCTCACCTGTTCTTTTGTTAAGTGACTTCAAATGATATTTTGGTTAAATTAATATACAGGCAACTCCCCCATTTGTGTGGGGGTTACGTTCTGGGTCATCATGCATGTCGGTGCAGCGTAAGCCCACCCCACCCCATTCTGCCCCCTCCCTGCCCCATTCCAGGACCATAAATGGTCACGCATGCCTTGGTTGCACACATAATGGTCATTCCCATAATTCTGTTCCACTTGGTATGTAAAATAAGTGTAAAATTGCATAGGAATAGTTAAAAATGACTGCCAAGTACTTGCAGTTATATAGAAGAAGAGTTTGGATTTGCTATCCTGCCTTTGAGGACTCTCAAAGCGGCTAACGTTCTCCTTTCCCTTCCTCCCCCACAACAAACACTCTGTGAGGTGAGTGGGGCTGAGAGACTTCAGAGAAGTGTAACTAGCCCAAGGTCACCCAGCAGCTGCATGTGGAGGAGCGGAGACGCGAACCCGGTTCCCCAGATTACGAGTCCACTGCTCTTAACCACTACACCACACTGGCTCTATAAATTATGTATTTATATTGTTTGTTGTTGTTGTTATGTAGCATTACCTGACATTTTCAGAAGGTAACATTAGAATTCTGTGGTTTCCCCAAAGCATTTTATGTCCTTCTTCACTAGACGTACTATATTTTTCGCTCTATAGGACGCACCTTGTTTTAGAGGGGGAGAACAAAAAAAGAAAGATTCTCCCCCTCTCTGCTCAGCACCCCTTCAGCGAAGCGGCAGGAGAAACGGAGCCCCTTCCATTTCTCCTCCCGTTTGGCTGAAGGGGCGCTGCGCAGCTCTCCCTCTCTGCTGAAGCCAGGAGAGTCTTGCTCTCCTGGCTTCAGCAAAAAGAACCCAAAGCCTCCGAAGCACAGCGGGACCTCCCTCTGCACTCCGGAGGCTTCAGGCAGCTATCCCTGAAGCCTGGAGAGCGAGAGGGGTCGGTGCTCACCGATCCCTCTCGCTCTCCAGGCTTCAGCGAAAGCAACGTGAAGCCTCCGGAGTGCAGAGGGAGTGCTCCCTTTGCGCTTCGGAGGCTTCGCGTTGCTATCGCTGAAGCCAAGGAGCCTGCATTCGCTCCATAGGACGCACACACATTTCCCCTTAATTTTTGGAGGGGGAAAAGTGCTGTCCTATAGAGCGGAAAATATGGTAAATTGACCAAGCTAAACATTGACTAATCACAAAAATAATATCAGGTTTGAATTCTTCTCACACACACACCCCCCAAAAAACCCGTATTTTAAGACCCCTCGCTGAAGAAATTTGCTGAAAGTAAGTTTCACCCCAAAAAATGACATACCCTACGTGACCCAGCTTAAGGTATGTCTCTGCCTGCCAGCTCTCCATTGCAGATACTCAGTCCCTCTCATATCTATCCCTGCAGATGTTGGCCCAGTCCAAGTGACTCAGGATGTGGATGAGCTTAAGACCTTGATCTCTAACCTTAGACCTACGGGTGGCGGTGACTGCCCAGAGATGTCTTTGAGTGGCCTGAAGTTGGCTTTGGAACACAGCTTGCCAAGGTAATAGACCTGGCCTTTCCCGCCTTATTCCTAACATAAATATTCCCGTTACCTTCATTCCTCCATTCCTAGTACCTTTGCTTGAGTACCTAGAAGTCACTCCACTCATTCTCCCTTGCGACCTGGAACTTCTTCCCAGGTCATCTCCTTGTGGTCACCTCTATTCTTTCAAATCCCCACCACCACCAGTTAAGCCTTCAAAACTCCAGTCCTCCCCCACCTGCCCCCAACAACAATGGTGCCCAAGTATGTATTGAGTGGCCATGTTCCAACATTCATACCTCCGTTAAATAAGCTGCGGTAGGAAGGAGCCTCATGAACATGCGCACAACCCCTTTATGTGAACCAGAAAATGAACCAGTTAATTTCCCATTAACCTCTAGAACATAAGAAGAGGTCTACTGGATCAGACCAGAGGCCGATCTAGTCCAGCATCTCACTGCTGGACTATGGGAAGTCCAGACACAAGACATGGGCGCATTAGCCCTTCCTCTGATCCTGAATCACTGCTATCAGCCTCCAATAGCCTCAGGAATTTCTCTAATCTCCTTTGAACACTACCTCTTTGTTGTAGAGAATTCCATGGTTTAGCTATGCACAGCATGAAGAAGTCCTTCATGCCCCAACGTTCAGCTTTGTTTGATGGCCTCTTGTTCTGGTATCAGGGTGGGACCCCTCCGACGGGTAGAAAAACCGCTCTCTCTATTCGCTTTGGAACATGCCTTGGTATAACACCTACTTTGAACTAGGGTTTGATATTCTGACTTCTTCAGAAGGCCTTAACCATCGGTTCGGTCAAAATGGAAAACTCTAGTTAGCTTCCTGGTTTGTTCTCTTCCTTGCACAAAGGTCCAAGATCTACATCTTTACTGATGCTGGAGCCAAAGATGAGCACCTGAAAGATGAAGTCCAGGTCCTACTTGATTCATCCGGGTCTGAAGTGAATTATGCTCTCACAGGGTATTGCTCTAGCCGGAAACGGAGAAGTATGTATAGCTCTTGGCAAGCAATGAGAAAGAGGGCATTTTCATTGGTGGGAGAGCGTTCCACAAACAGAAGGGTGGGATCCTTGAGAAATCAGCAGGCCCACCTCCCGACTTATGCCAATATAATTCTTCTCTGGTGATCATTCGTAGCCAAGTAAGATGGTCTTCCATAAACTCAGTTTTAACAATGAGTCCACAAGTGACTGTGGCGGCTAATTCTGGATCCACAGTGGTTTTCAGGTGGGAGTTGATCACAGTGAGCGTTTGCCAAACGTGCCTTCCTCTTAGCGCATTTCTCGTCCTGAGTTTGAGTGTCTTCGAAGCCCATGACACCTTTGGTAAAGACTGTTCTCCAATTGGAGCGCTCACAGGCCAGTGTTTCCCAGTTTTCGGTGTTTACACTACAATTTTTAAGATTTGCCTCAAGAGAATCTTTAAACCTCTTTTGTTGACCACCAGCATTACACTTTCCATTTTTAAGTTCGGAATAGAGTAGTTGCTTTGGAACACGATCATCAAGCATCTGCACAACATGACCAGTCCAGCGAAGCTGATGTTGAAGAATCATTGCTTCTACACTGGTGATCTTTGCTTCTTCCAGTACACTGGCATTAGACAGGCGAACCTTATAAGCAACTGCTGCCAAAACACCCACTGTGGTTTGCCTTTCAACCCTGTGAACACAGAAGAGAAGGAGGCCAGGTTTTGAGACAAAAACCCATCCTTTCTCTCCACAGGTGCTGCCGAAGAGGCTTCTGGGAGAAGTTATGCTAACATCTATGAAGAACTAGCTGCTTATTCCGGAGGCTTCTATGTGATGACCACCAAAGGCGAACTCGACCAGGTCTTGGGCATCATGGAGCTGTCTCTGAATGCCGCCCCGGTTACGGTGGCCCATAAGCAATTGGATGGGTCTCAGTGCTCCTTCCCGGTGGATGAGACCCTCACAGAAATCACAGTCTCTGTCAAGAGCTTGCACTCTTTGGGTTTCACCATTACTGTGAGGCAACCTTCAGGTACAGCTTGTTCAGAGAATGAAGCAGAGAGCTTTCCTGCAAAAGTATGGTGGGGGGAATGAAAATTGTGGAGAGTCTTGTGTGGTTTGCCATCTCATCCTCTACACAAATAATAGTGAACACTTTTGGGCCTGAGGGCTGTGTTTTGGGCTTTTGGGCTACCGTCCAGGGACCCCACATCAGCAACAGGCAAAGCGAGAGGAGAGCATTGGCAGTAAATGTTACCTTTGTGCAGTTAAGAGAGCTTCTACACACATTCACAGGCCTACATCTCTATCAACCACCCAGGGAAATGAGGGGCATGATCAGAGTTCAAGAACATTTAAGCAAGAGGGGTGGGTACTCAAGGAAGGCATATCCTCCAACATATCTCTGATGAAAATAGGGACGTCTTATTCCATAATAATAATTTTATTATTTACACCCCGCTCATCTGTGACGCCCAGCAACAACCTGTGACGCTTGCCCTGGACATCAAGAAAGGGAATACCTAGGTGCACAATAGGGAATTTGAACCTAGAATAGAATCATAGAATCATAGAGTTGGAAGAGACCACAAGGGCCATCGAGTCCAACCCCCTGCCAAGCAGGAAACACCATCAGAGCACTCCTGACATATGGTTGTCAAGCCTCTGCTTAAAGACCTCCAAAGAAGGAGACTCCACCACACTCCTTGGCAGCAAATTCCACTGTCAAACAGCTCTTACTGTCACCTGGGTGCCTCCAGTGCAAGTCTGACACTCTAGCCCAGGCATCCCCAAACTCTGCCCGCCAGGTGTTTTGGGACTACAATTCCCACCATCCCTGACCACTGGTCCTGTTAGTTAGGGATGATGGGTGTTGTAGTCCCAAAACACCTGGAGGGCCGAGTTTGGGGGTGCCTGTTCTAGCCACTCTAGCCACCTGAATCATACTGGGTTATTTAAATCAAACTGGCTCTTTGGATTTAAGGGAAACCTGAAAAAAAATTATTATCATTTTGTTAAAAAAAAAAAAGAAAGGAGAGAGAGGAGGAGAACGTAACACTGTATTTATTTTTTAAAGAACTCACGTTTGTTTGCTGCAGGGTTTTCTTTATTATGAATCAATTAATTTTTATTATTTTATTATTAACTAATTAATATTTTCCCGATTTCATGGGGGGACACCCCCCCAAAGCATAATACACCAAATGTATGTTAAGGGGAAGGTATGTTGAGCATAGCAACCAGCTGTGGTGCACATTCACCAGCCCTCATGGAGAATGTGCATACTTCCCAGTCAAATATACCGTATTTTTTGCTCTATAAGACTCACTTTTTCCTTCCTAAAAAGTAAGGGGATATGTGTGTGCGTCTTATGGAGCGAATGCAGGCTGCGCAGCTATCGCAGAAGCCAGAACAACAAGAGGGATTGCTGCTTTCCCTGCGCAGCGATCCCTCTTGCTGTTCTGGCTTCTGAGATTCAGAATATTTTTTTTCTTGTTTTCCTCCTCCAAAAACTAGGTGCATCTTGTGGTCTGGTGCGTCTTATAGAGCGAAAAATACGGTACATAGTCTTCAACAGGGCTTGGAGAACTTGCACTTATTGAGGGTGTGAAGCAGGGGCAGTAAAGAGTGTGGCCAGAAGAGAGGTTATTGACCGTGGATAGGGACAAACAAGGAGGACTGCATTTGTCCACCGGGCCTGACATTCCCCACCCCTGCTCTGCCCCTCCTGCAACCTTGTCTGTCTTTGTGTCATCCTGTGGCAGGTGTCTCGCCATCCACTCACACAGTGATCAACACATCCAGCCACAAGATTGTGAAGGTGTCCCCCATCCCTGAGCGGGGCATGTGGACCGTGACTGTCTCTCCCAGTGGCTCCTACGAGGTGGAAATCGGAGGCAAGAGCTTGCTAGACATATCCTACCAGATTATGCAGAAGCAGAAAGAGTATGTGCTTCCGGTGCAGGGAAAACCTGTGAAAGGTAAGTTTGGGGGGATTTGAAGCAGCCATACTAAGGGCAGGAGTATCTGATGTTGTTGTTTAAGGCTTAAAAAGGGTAAAGGGACCCCTGACCCTTTACCCTTTGTCCAGTCGTGCCTTTATTGGCCAAGGGAGCCGGCGTATAGCTTCCGGGTCATGTGGCCAGCATGACTAAGCCGCTTCTGGCGAACCAGAGCAGCGCACGGAAACACCGTTTACCTTCCTGCCAGAGCAGTACCTATTTATCTACTTGCACTTTTACGTTCTCTCGAACTGCTAAGTTGGCAGGAGCAGGGACCGAGCAACGGGAGCTCACCCCGTTGCGGGGATTTGAACCGCCAACCTTCTGATCGGCAAGTCCTAGGCTCTGTGATTTAACCCACAGCGCCACCCGCGTCCCTGTTTAAGGCTTACAAAGCACCTAAAGAGTTGTACAGATAGTAAGGGCCAGAGGCTCTGGCTTCCTCCGCTCTTGAGGGGGGCCGACGTCACACAATATGCCAATGTAGCATGCGTAGGGCTGCCGTACGTCCAGGATTCAGCCCTCGTAAACACCGTCCGGGTGGAAATTGCTGAAACGTCCAGGGAAATCCGGACGTATGGCAGCTCAGATCAATAGTGTAGATTCTGGCGGTTTTCATTAAAAATAGCTCAAAAACTCAACAACTTTGGCCAACGTAAACTCAACAACTTTTGTGTCTGGATTTTCACCTTTTGGAATATGGCAATAATGTGGCAACTCCAGTGGCAACCCGTGTCTAAAGTGTTTATTCCCCCCCCCCCCGATTTTCCTCAAAAACTTCATTTTTGGGGAGGGGGGGAGATTTTGCAAAACAAGCTCAACAACATTGGCCCAAAGTTGAAATAATATGGCAACCCTAATTTATTTGGTAAGCCTGAGAAAAATAAAGGACAGACCGGAGATTAGTTTTGTTTATGGAAGCGTTGAACAGAGTCCGTCCCTGACCGATACGATTTTTGGAAGAGTACAAAACCCACACAGAGATACCAGTTTATGATCTGCTTGTGAAAATCATCAGAGATCGCAAAGAAAGGATTAACAACAAGAAGAGAAAGGAAGTAACAAAGGACTATCCGGATTAAACTGGATAGAACTGACTAATTAAAGCAGGGAGATAAGTGATACCTGTTTTGGACTAGTGCGGAGCTTGATTTATGGGTACCCTCAACAAAATTTAAAATCTGGCTGTATAATTTGGAATTAATGTGATATGGATAATGTGATGTGATTGGCCTGTTAATAAAAATTATTTTAAAAAAGGAAAAAAAGAAATAATATGGCAACCCTAAGTATGCACAACGTTACTGCTCGATATTGAGGGGGCCCAGCCCCGTCCTTAAGAACTTCGGGGGGCAGCTGGCATGCCTGTTAAGGACACACCCACACCTGTCATTTGCAGCATGTTTGCCATGTCCCATGCACTCATTTTTGGGTGTTCATCTGCATTACACTGAGCTGTAGTTTAGCCTTCTCATTCCCTCTCCCCCAGTTATGGAGGTTCCCTGTTTGCAGGCTCAAAGGGATGGGGATGGGGGGCAGATTGGTGTCTCCTTTTGCCATGATGTTGCTGGAACACCCATGGGAGGTGCTATCTCCCAGTGATACTTTCCCCCCCCCCCCCGGAAAAAAAAATCATTTTATAACAAAAATAAGCAATACAAACAGAAAAACTAACAATGCAAACAAATTCTTGGCTTATCCTTATTTTTTCTAAACATTGTTAGGTGAGCTTCCCCAAGTCCCCCCTATCTGATTTTCATTTCACCTCATCTTTAGCAGTTTCATATATCATCATTTTTAACCATTTTTTATCACTTAGTTTTACCATAAAAATCTTCACGTTTTATCACTGACAAATAATACTATTCTCTTCTACTTCTAACCCTACAGCCTATGTCCACTTCCAAAGCTATTCTAAGATTTAAATATTAACATTTTTTTTCAAATATTCTTTAAACTTCTTCCAATCTTCTTCCACCGTCTCTTCTCCCTGGTCTCGGAGTCTCCCAGTCAGTTTGGCAAGTTCCATATAGTCCAAATATCTCCCAGTGACCCTTGGTCTGGATGAGCTCAGTGGAGATACTGAAGTGATAGGTGGGGATTTCCAAGGATGTTCTTCTGAGTTCCTGCATCTTTGTTCCAGGCTCCAACTATACTGTCTCGCTGAGGCTGGTGGGTGGGGCTAAAGGTGCCCGGGTCCAGCACCTGATCCCTATTTCTGGATTGGGGAACCCCCTAGACTCCATCACTTTGAACCAGACCTCTGATGCCCTTGGCAATGTCCTGGCTATTGCCCCTGTTTTCTTGCACACTCCGGTAAGTACCCTTTCCTCATGTCATTTGCTAAAGACTGGTGCCAGTTGCAGAGCCGGCTCTACCATTGGGCAAGGGCAGGACCTCAGATGCAGAACCAAATGCAGCTTTCCAGTACTCCTACTATGTTACTACCAAGACCTTCCCGGACTAACCCGGAGACAAATGTCAGGACACGGGTGGCGCTGTGGTCTAAACCACTGAGCCTCTTGGGCTTGCCGATCAGAAGGTTGGAGGTTCAAATTCCCGCGACGGGGTGAACTCCTGTTGCTCTGTCCCAGCTCCTGCCAACCTAGCAGTTCGAAAGTACGCCAGTGCAAGTAGATAAATAGGTACCGCTGCGGCAGGAAGGTAAACGGCATTTCCGTGCGCTCTAGTTTCCATCACAGTGTCTCAGTAGCGGTTTAGTCATGCTAATCACATGACCCAGAAAGCTGTCTGTAGACTAAGGCCGGCTCCCTTAGCCTGAAAGCAAGATGAGCGCCTCAACCTCATAGTCGCCTTTGACTGGACTTAACCATTCAGGGGTCCTATACACACACATACATATATATGATAAAAAGGTAAAGGGACCCCTGACCGTTATGTCCAGTCATGAACGACTCTGGGGTTGTGACGTTCATCTTGCTTTACTGGCTGAGGGAGCCGGTGTTTGTCCGCAGGCAATTTTTCCGCGTCATGTGGCCAGCATGACTAAGCCACTTCTGGCGAACCAGAGCAGCGCACAGAAACGCCGTTTACCTTCCCGCCAGAGTGGTACCTATTTATCTACTTGCACTTTGACGTGCTTTCGAACTGCTAGGTTGGCAGGAGCTGGGACAGAACAACAGGAGCTCACCCCGTTGTGGGGGATTCGAACCGCCGACCTTCTGATTGGCAAGCCCAAGAGGCTCTGTGGTTTAGACCACAGCACCACCTGCATCCAATATATATGATACTACTAGGAAAAGAAATGGTCGGGTATGAGGGGAGCTGTAGTCCAATGACTTCTGGAGGGCCACAGGTTCTCCTGCCCTGCTTTAAAATATCTTTAACAATAATTCTCTCTCCTCTACCTTCCAGACCACGCTGCTGAGTGTGGAAGGCCTGTCTCCAGAGAATCTGCCCTTTTCGCGAGTCAGCAGCTACCCCATCAGCACGGAGTCCGTGCAGATTCTACCCGTGCCGGACCAAAACAGTGAGTATGGTATTCAAAGGCAGACTGCCTCCAACAATGGAGGCAAAGCATTAGCTCTCATGACCAGTAGCAGCCACCTCCAACGGTGAGATGATGATGGTGGTGGTGATGATGATAATAATAAGAATAATAAGAATAATAATTTATTATTTGTACCCCGCTCATCGGGCTGGGTTTCCCCAGCCACTCTGGGCGGCTTCCAACAAAGATTAAAAATCTTCCAACAAAGATTAAAATGTCACACATTAAAAACTTCCCTGAACAGGGCTGCCTTCAGATGTCTTCTAAAAGTCAGATAGTTGTTTATTTCCTTGGCTTCTGGTGGGAGGGCATTCCACAGGGTGGGCGCCACTACCAAGAAGGCCCTCTGCCTGGTTCCCTACGACCTCACTTCTCGCAGGGAGGGAACCGCCAGAAGGCTCTCGGAGCTGGACCTCAGTGTCCGGGCAGAACGATGGGGGTGGAGACTCTCCTTCCGGGTGCTGAGAGTTGCTAGGTGCCCCCTATTCCCCCTCCACACATAGCTACAGAATGGTTTGACAACCAATGCGTCCTCCCAGGCTGAACGATGGGGTTGGAGACACTCCTTCTAGTATACTGGGCCGAAGCCCAGCTGCCAGTACCTGCCCATGTTCTCCTATCTATACAGGCACAATGGCACCTGGCGAAAGCCTGGAGGTCTCTGTCATGGTGGTGAATGAAGGGACAGCTGCCGCCTTCTCCTTTAAAGTCTGGGACGACTTTGGTTTCCTGGAGAGCTTTACACCGACGGAAAGTTTCCTAAATTCAGGAGAGAGCGTCGTCCTCAGGGCAACCTTCACGGCGCCTTTGAAGAACAGCAGCTTTACTTCCAGGTAGGACAGCATTGCTGTAACGGTCTGGAACAGGAGAGGCAGGTTGAAGTGGGACCATGGACGAGGTGCCAACATTTGGGAGGTCTATGGGCAGGAAGCAGTAGTCTCAAGACCATGGGTAGGCAAACTAAGGCCCGGGGGCCAGATCTGGCCCAATCGCCTTCTAAATCCGACGCACGGACGTCCCAGAAATCAGCGTGTTTTTAAATGAGTAGAATGTGTCCTTTGCTGACCCCTGCTCAAGACGGACCAACTTTGATGGTGTCAGTCTTCAGGGAATTCTATCCCTCCCCAGTAGCAGCAAGAAGCAGAGAAAAACAAGGAAGAGTCCTTAAAAATGAGTTTATTCAGTGATCACAGCGAGAGACAAAGGAATGCAGCCTGACTCCCAATAATGGCGTTGCTCCAACTGAGTTCCTCCCCGCTTCCTTCCTAGCAACAGCACTTCCCCTTACAGGAGCTGACCGGGGCTAATTGACTGTGACTCCTTTGGTCTTGCACTCTCAATGAACGCCATGATCTGGGAGAAGGGGGGGTCAGAAACACTCTCCAGTGATAATGTGTCAGCTGGCTGCTCTGTCTCTGTCTCTCCCCCCCCCCCTTCTCCCAACACCTCCCACCTCCTAACTGTTTGCCTGTGAGCTATGACCTTCTTCTGAGCTATGACCTTCCTCAAACCACTGCTGTAATTTAATATGGTGTTACCTTGGTTCTCGAACAGCTTAGTTGTCAAACAAATCAGCTCCCGAATGCCCCAAACCCGGAAGTAAGTGTTCTGGTTCGTGAACGTTTTTCGGAAGTTGAACATCTGGTGCGGCTTCCGCTTGAGTGCAGGAAGCCACGCCTTGGTTTTTGAATGGTTTCAGGAGTCAAACAGACTCCTGGAACGGATTAAGTTCAAGAACCAAGCTTCCACTGTACTGCCTTTCTCTTCTCTGGAAGCTTCAGGAGAAGGGGGTGGATTGCCACCATTCAGTGCCGGATTTACGTATAAGCTAAACAAGCTATAGCTTAGGGCCCCACTCTCTTGGGGGCTCCCCAAAAAATTAAAGAAAAAAACTGGATGTACATTTACAAAATATAAGATGAAAAACGAAAACAAAACCTACATACATCAACACTGTTTTGTGTTGTGTAGGCTCCTATGACGTAAGGAATGGGCCCCGCCTGCTGGCCTGCTCCCTAAAATATCACTGGTTTGCTCATTTCTGTATATAGGGTGCCTACATTCTGCATGGACCAGTTGCATGGCAACATGAGCAAATGGCTTTAGATACCTGTTAGGTCCATAAATTACCATATAGCATATATTCAACACAAAAAACGGTGACACTTTGTTGTTGACAAAGGACAGCTGGACATATAAAGGGCCCCATTACCTTCAGTAGCTTAGGGCCTCATCAAACCTAAATCCAGCCCTGCCACCGTTCCTCTTCAATCTCGTCCCCTTCAGATATTCCCTGACAGATGGGCACAAACAGGTTACAGGTTGCTGTTGTTGGTTTCTGTGTGTTGCCACTGTGCAGTGCTTGGAGTCACAAGACTCTGTTTTGCATACCAGAGATTCCAGGCTGTTGGAAGTCTCACGGAAGACAGGAGATGGATGTGATGTTACGGGTTTCCTGTTCCTTTGTTTTCCAGTTGCTCTCTGCTTTCACAGAGAGAGCATGTATATTTCTTTTCTGTCTGCGTAGCTAGAAATAAAGCATAGCGATGTAGCTCATATTTCTCGTCCTTCCCTGCGTGCTGGATACTCAGTGTAATGGGGGAACGTGCTTAGATCCTCATCAAAGGCTCAGGTCATTAATCACATCGGAGGACTCAACCGGAAGAGTCGCTCAGTCGAACGCAAGTCCGACAGCTGTATCCCAAATCAGACCATCAGTCCATCCAGTTCAGTACTGCTACACTGGCTGGCAGCAGATCTCCAAGGTTTCTTTTCCAGCCCAACCTGAAGATGATTGAGCCTGGGACCTTCTGAATGCAAAGCAACTGCTCTATTGCTGAGACACAGCTTTTCCCTCGATGCACTTTAGGGTCATAGGAAGCTGCCTCATACAGCGTCAGGCCAATGGCCAGTCCAGGTCAATACTGGCTGCCCTGACCCACGGTGGCTCTCCTGGGTTTCAGGCAGGAAATATTCCCAGCCCTGCCAGGAGATGCCAGGGATGGGACCGCAGGTTTCACCCATGCAGAGTGAATGCGCTGCTGATGAGCAATGGCTCTTACCTGGCTAGGGGGGGTGGGAGCTGGTGCCAAGACTTATGGATTCCCTTGGCAAGGAAAGGCCCTCCAGATGTTTATGGCTGCAACCTCCATTCGCCACAGCCAGCATGGAGAGTTATAGTCCAAAATACCTGGAGGTTGCCAGGTTGTTGATAGCTATGCTGAACTATCCCTTCTCATCTACACTCCTTAAGGTAAAGGTAAAGGGACCCCTGACCATTAGGTCCAGTCATGACCGACTCTGGGGTTGCAGCGTTCATCTCGCTTTATTGGCTGAGGGAGCCGGCTTACAGCTTCTAGGTCATGGGGCCAGCATGACTAAGCCGCTTCTGGCGAACCAGAGCAGCGCACGGAACTGCTGTTTACCTTCCCGCCGGAGTGGTACCTATTTATCTACTTGCACTTTGACGTGCTTTCGAACTGCTAGGTTGGCAGGAGCAGGGACCAAGCAACAGGAGCTCACCCCATCGCGGGGATTCAAACCACCGACCTTCTGATCGGCAAGTCCTAGGCTCTGTGGTTTAACCCACAGCGCCACTCCTTACCCCCCCCCAAATGCACTCTGTTCATCATTACCTAATGTTCTTTCAGCACCGCAACGTTCACAGCTAAAAGCTCAGCAACTCAAAACTACCTGAGACTGCCCATCACTGTCATTTCTGAAAATGATACGGTGAGTTCTCACTCCACGTTGATTATTCACTAATATGTGATAGTCAGTGAAGAATTGCTTGGTGCCTAAGAATGTAAAAATGGATGATTTTCTGTTCTGCCCTGCTGTCCCGTCCCCCCACTGCAATTCATCTTCCACTGCCCCAAATTATGTTATTTGTCTCTCAGTCTGTTGCGGTGAAATTATGTAGCTTACGTAATTTGCATAATTAATTTTGCAGGTTACGTAAGTTATGTTGTCGTCATGTTACTCCACCCCCATTCGTTTAAAATGCAAAGGAAACACAATCCAAATGGGGTGTGTGTGTGGGAGAGACATAATCAATTACATATTTTTTATGGACTGAAAGCAACAAGAACAGTGAATACCAATCTTATTTGCTGTATTGATTTTTGCTCCAGATACAGTATGGGACAAATAAGTGAACACCTGCAGTTTCTGCTCCCATTTCTATTATTGTGAGAATTCTCTTACATTCCTAAATGCCTCCCAGTTTGAGAAATGTTGTTGTTTAGTCATTTAGCCGTGTCCGAGTCTTTGTGGCCCCATGGACCAGAGCACGCCAGGCACTCCTGTCTTCCACTGCCTCCCGCAGTTTGGTCAAACTCATGCTGGTAGCTTCGAGAACATTGTCCAACCATCTCGTCCTGTCGTCCCCTTCTCCTTGTGCCCTCCATCTTTCCCAACATCAGGGTCTTTTCCAGGGAGTCTTCTCTTCTCATGAGGTGGCCAAAGTATTGGAGCCTCAGCTTCAGGATCTGTCATTCCAGTGAGCACTCAGGGCTGATTTCCTTCAGAATGGATAGATTTGATCTTCTTGCAGTCCATGGGACTCTCAAGAGTCTCCTCCAGCACCATAATTCAAAAACATCAATTCTTCGGCGATCAGCCCTTTTTAATCCATGTGTGTGTGTTTTTAATAAAAATCTGCATGCAAATTTGTATTTAAACATACACACACACACACACACACGCATATATAAACATATATATAAATAATGTTTAAATACAAATTTGCATGCAGATTGTTTTTTGAAAACACACACACATTAATGTGAAAATGGGACTTATGAACACATGTGAAACTGACATAGACAAGCTATAGACTGATTGATCCATCTGCCATTCAAGGGTTGCCAACATGGTGCCCACCAGACTATAATTCTCATCAGCCTCAATCAGCGTGGCCAATAGTCAGGAGTTGTGTGTATTGTAGTCCAAAATGTCTGGAGAGCACCGTGTTGGCTACCCAAGTCCTAGCAGAAAGTGGTCTTTACAGATGGCTACTCTTGGTTCTTCCTAACCAACCTGTGCTCCATCCAAACAGAAAACTGATGAGATCCCACCAAACTATGCGCTTCTAGACCTTTACATGCCTTGTGTCAGCAAATTCCAGCACAAGCCTACCTGCTCTCGGCACATTTGGAAAATGAGGTTCTCTGCAATGGATAATCACAGCGCTGTCACTGTCCAAATCACTGCAAATCCTTCTGGTCTATCCTGCAGCCCACGGGGGACTGATGGCAGCAAGGAAGTCATGTGTCACTATCAGTATGTATATCCGGTTTCTAGAAATCTGATAGCATGGTGCAGAAAATGACCACTGATCATGGAGCTCCACAGCAGAGGCTGATTCCTGTTTACCTCTGCTTGCTTTTTTATTATTATTTGCATTTTATTTATTTGTTAACATTCTTATATTACATTGGTAAACGTTGTCATATTACATTAGAGGACTTATAATATAATTTCCAACATGTATACAAAAATTATATACAAATTTTATATACCTAGAAAGAAAATGAAACAAAAAAAAGAACAAAGAGAAAAAACAAAAACAATTCCCCCCCAAAATCATATGCATACCAACACACTAGACTTTCTGCCTATCCCGTTGTATATTCCTTTTTTACAAATGAATGTACTCTTATTATTGTATATTTCTTTACATTTTATCTAATATTCCTATATCAATATGTGCTCTTAGTCTTATTTCTCTACTTGGTCTCACTCCAACGTCAATCAAATGCTAGTATAGGTAGCGAACCTTTACAGTGGTACCTTGGGTTACATACGCTTCAGGTTACATACACTTCAGGTTACAGACTCCACTAACCCAGAAATAGTGCTTCAGATTAAGAACTTTGCTTCAGGATGAGAACAGAAATCGTGCTCCGGCGGCGCGGCAGCAGCAGGAGGCCCCATTAGCTAAAGTGGTGTTTCAGGTTAAGAACAGTTTCAGGTTAAGAACAGACATCCAGAATGAATTAAGTTCTTAACCTGAGGTACCACTGTACTGTATTTTTGAACATATGTTTTATATCTATCCCACTTTCCCATAAATTTTTGTTTTGAATTGCCCCTCAGGGTATTTGTTAACTGCGCTATTTCAGCAAATTCTTGTAGCTTGTAATGCCAATCCGTTATTGTCGGGGCTTCTTGTTCCTTCCACCCCTTTGCCACCAAAGTCCGAGTTGCGACCGTTGCATATAAGAATACCTCCCTAAAGGCCTTCAGGAAGTCCCTGAAAACAATGCTTGCTTTCTTTTCAACTAATGTTAACAATATTTCCCCATTGTTATATATAGGGTGGGGTTTTTTGCATATCGTGAGACCATGACCTCTGAATCACACGCCCATCAGAGCTTCCCTTCCTCTCATCTTTGGCTTATCGGCCTTGTGTCTTCTTTTGTAGGTCGAACTGCTGTTCTCCTTATGCAGAATTCCTGATCAGCGATGAAAACGGGAACACAAAGACTTTTACTGTAGACTACAGACGACCCCGTCCTGCCTCCACCTCATAAACCTACAACAGGTATAACACGCAGTAGCAGCAGCTCTCCAATGTTTGGGGGAATGTTCCCTTCCTGTAACTGTAGGGATAGGGGACGAACCCAGCTCGGTTTGCATTTAAAGGCTTTCCTTTAAATTCACACTTTCTGAAACAATGCACACAAAACTGAAACACAGCGTTGAATTTTGCGACACAGTTCTACAAACAAAAAATGTTGGCAGAAATGCATGTATTACAGTGGTACCTCGGGTTACAAACGCTTCAGGTTACAGGCTCCGCTAACCCGGAAATAGTACCTCAGGTTAAGAACTTTACCTCAGGATGAGAACAGAAATCACGCGGTGACAGCACGGCGGCAGCGGGAGGCCCCATTAGCTAAAGTGGTACTTCAGGTTAAGAACAGTTTCAGGTTAAGAACGGACCTCCGGAACGAATTAAGTACTTAACCCGAGGTACCACTGTACAGGTCTAGTTGCTGCTGAATAACAGCAGAGAGGCCGTGTGGTATAATGGCGATTGTGCTAAACTAGGACATGGGAAACTAGGGTTCAAATCCCTTTACATAAATATAATAATATTTTTTTAAAAAAAAAACATTAAAAGGAGTTAGTGAGGGAATAACTCCAAACGCATAAGGAGTTAGCAGAGGAACAGGAGGGCTGGGAGTCAGCAGAGTTGCTATCTTTTTCTCTCGACAGAAGCTCTGTGCCCAGCTGACTGGCAGAAATTCAACAGAAGCAGCTTCTCCCATTGCTGCTTCTCTATGTCAGAGTTCAAGCTCCACCTGCCTTGAACTACGGAAGAAGCAAAGGACATATGTGGCACCCCTAAAGTCCTCCCCGGATCTGGGGATTTGAGAGAGGGAGGACACTGACAGATACCTTGATGCTTTTCATGCAGAAATTCTTTTTTTCTCTTTCTCTCTTCTAACAGCTGAACTGCATTATATGACTATCACAAAAGGCAATAAGCTTTGGAGAGTCACATTTCTGGTTTCGTGGTGCCATTTGAATCGGGAAGGAGATACTCTCCAGATGTTAAACTGCCAAGTGGTGATCCAGCTACATTGGCAGCCTCCATTACTCCTGCAGCCAAATAAAACAAACTTGAGAAAGCACTTGTGCCTGTGTTTACCTTCACTGTTAAGAATAATGGGCATGTCTGCAGTCTATACTAACAAAGCATCCATCAGTTTGATGAGCCAGAATTTCTGGGCCCATAGCATATATCGGTCCCTCCAAACGACCTGTTTATTAAGCATTCCTCATGATTTGCTTGCACAAAGCTTACGGGGAACTTCGATTGCATCTGGTGGCCTTCATCTTGAGTTGTTTACAGAGGTTATACAACAATAAGCACCCCGGTTTTCTTGAGGGGTGTTTACACCGTTTCTCGTTAATCATTCCTCCCTCCCACACTTTTCAAGGCTACCCCCCCCCTTCACTTTCCAAACCACAGAAAGTCTATCTCTCTTTTAAAAGTGGGTTTCTTGCGCTGGGGCAACAAACACTTTAATTGCATAAACTTTAATTTTTCACCATGTGCTTGCCTCTTGGACTGAGGGCTGGTATTCCTGTGTGCACATATATATATCATGCTGATGTCAGAAGCACTAACCAATCAGCATCACTCACATCCACCTTCTTCTGCAAAATTGCAGAACCATTCTTTGTTTTTTTTAAAAAAAGATATTTATTAAAGTTTCAAACAATAAAACAAACTTCACATTCAAAACAGAGTAGAAAAAAGAAAAAGCATCCTCACATTCAATCAAAAAAGCAAACAGAAAAACACAGTAAATGGACCTTGAGCTTGTTTGGAGGTTCTAGCAGGGGAGCGCAGCTATCGTATACCCTTGACCGAAGAACGGTACACTCCTTCTATCTGGGATGGTCGTCCTCTTCCACCGAGCGCGCAGCTTCGGGAGGGACGCACATGGAGCGGTGAGGGAGGAAGGGGACACCCGCCTAGCCAGCCAGATCAGCCGAATCAACCCATACAGAGGTATGTTAGAACCTAAAACACCCCACTGGCTGTCGCCGTTAGAAGTTTTGAGTGTCAAAAAGATTAATATGAGGGGCAACTGGGCTACCTACGAACAACTGGTAATGAAAGAAGAAGGAAAGTGGAAAATGAAGCCGTACGATCAGATTAAGGACAAAGTTTATGATTGGCTGCACTACTTACAGATAAACGGAATGTTTAGGAAAGATCTTAAAGATAAAGGATATGCCGACAAAGATTCCAGATTCCAGATTGAGATATTGAATAACAACTATAAAATTTTGTCAAAAATGTATAATCAATTATTGGAATGGAATTTAATAGATGAAGAAGTAAAGTCGGTAATGATATATTGGGCTAGAGATTTCGGCTATAACATATATTTTGAAGAGTGGGAAAAACTTTGGAAAAAACATCTTAAGTTCACAGCCTGTGTGACATTGAAGGAGAACTTAATGAAAATGTTTTATCGCTGGTATATGACTCCTGCAAAATTAGCTAGAATGTATGGAACTTGTAATAAGTGCTGGAAATGCAGGGAAAGGGAGGGGACCTTCTACCATATGTGGTGGGAATGCCAAAAGGTTAAAGGGTTCTGGGAGAGTGTATATAACGAAATGAAGAAAATTTTAAGATATACTTTTGTTAAAAAACCCGAGGCCTTTTTGTTGGGATTGGTAGGAAGGGAGATAAAGAGGAATGATCACAAGCTGTTCCAGTACGCAACAACGGCAGCAAGAGTCTTACTAGCTCAAAATTGGAAATTAGAGGGTTTACCGACGATCGAGGAATGGAGAGCGAAATTATTAGAATATGTGGAGATGGATAAAATGACAGGGAAAATCAGATATGTCAAAGACCAGAGGTTCATTAAGGACTGGGAAAGCTTTACGAATTATCTGGAAAACTTAAGTGATGGACAGATAACACTAGTGGGCTTTAAAGGGGCTCTGTAAAAAGAAAAGGTACTGTCTAAAGAGAAATGGAAGAAATAGAATGATCAATGGCATTACAGTGGTGCCTCGCAAGACGAAATTAATTCGTTCCGCAAGTCTCTTCGTCTTGCGAGTTTTTCGTCTTGCGATGCACGGTTTCCCATAGGAATGCATTGAAAATCAATTAATGCGTTCCTAGGGAAACCGCCTTCAGACCAGGTCCGGGGACAGTCTGTCCCCCGACCTCTTCTGAAGGCTGGGGGCGGGCGAAAGTCTTTGCTCCCCCCGCCTGCATTCAAAAGCCCTCCGGGACAGCAGAGAAACGCGCTGCGTTTCTCCGCTCTCCCGGGAAGGCAGGCAGGGGGGAGCAAAGACTTTTGCCCCCCGCAGGCCTTCAGAAGAGGTCCAGGACCTCTTCTGAAGGCTGGCGGGGGGGCGAAAGTCTTTGCTCCCCCCTGCCTTCAAAAGCTGTCCGCCCAGGCTTCGGGGACCTCTCCGCAAGCAGCGGCAGCGCTGCCGCTGCTTGCGTAGAGATGCCGGCATGCCGAAGCCTGCGCGCGCCGAGATCAGCGCGCCCAGGCTTCGCGGCCCCGCCGCCCGGCATCGGGGCATGGTCCCGATGGCGGGCGGCGGGGGGAGGCGTTCCCGCCCGCCCCCGGCATCGGGGCATGGTCCCGATGGCGGGCGGCGGGGGAAGGCGTTCCCGCCCCACCGCCCGGCATCGGGGCATGGTCCCGATGGCGGGCGGCGGGGGGAGGCGTTCCCGCCCGCCCCCGGCATCGGGGCATGGTCCCGATGGCGGGCGGCGGGGGGAGGCGTTCCCGCCCCACCGCCCGGCATCGGGGCATGGTCCCGATGGCGTGCGGCGGGGGGAGGCGTTCCCGCCCGTCCACCGGCATCGGGGCATGGTCCCGATGGCGGGCGGCGGGGGGAGGTGTTCCCGCCTGTCCACCGGCATCGGGGCATGGTCCCGATGGCGGGCGGCGGGGGGAGGCGTTCCCGCCCGCCGCCCGGCATCGGGGCATGGTCCGGGGCTTTTAAATTGCCCCGGAACAGCGGAGAAGTCCCCCGCAGTCCCGGGGCTTTTTAAAATGCTGGCGGGCGACAGCGGAGGCTTCGCTCCCGCCCGCCAGCATTTTAAGATCGCCCCGGACAGCGGAGAAGTCCCCCGCTGTCCCAGGGCTTTTTAAAATGCTGGCGGGCGACAGCGGAGGCTTCGCTCCCGCACGCCAGCATTTTAAGATCGCCCCGGACAGCGGAGAAGTCCCCGCTGTCCCGGGGCTTTTTAAAATGCTGGCGGGCGACAGCAGAGGCGCTTCCCCGCTGTCCCGGAGATTTCCCTATGGGCTTTCGTCTTGCGAAGCAAGCCCATAGGGAACTTCGTCTTGCGAAGCGCCTCCAAAACAGAAAACCCTTTCGTCTAGCGGGTTTTCCGTCTTGCGAGGCGTTCGTCTTGCGGGGTACCACTGTACAAATTAAGAAATGCGATACTTTAGAAAAGACTAGTCCGGATGACTTGTGGAAAGGTTGAAGGAAGTCACATCTGAAAATCTGTGAAAACGTGAATTGAACCTTTTATTTTGCTTTTGTATTTTGTATTATGTAAATCAATAAAAAATAAGTTGGAAAAAAAAAGAAAAACACAGTAAAAATCCCACCATAAAAGATAGAAAAAGAAAAAGGAAAAAAAATACATACAAAAATACATAAAAAAGACATAAAAAACCAATTTCTTAATTATTATTCTCATAACCCTCCTTCCAGACTCCCTCACATCTCCCTTTTCTGCGTTCCCTTTTACACGATCATATTCAGCAATACCTCACCTTCTTTCAAATCTTTTTTTTTATAATATTTTTATTGATTTTCCAACACATAATAAAGACAATACAATACACAATACACAAACAAACAAACAAACACATAAACACGTATAATTTCAAAACCTTCTTTTCTTAAATCTTACTTCTCCGACTTCCCCATACCTCCCCTTTCTGCATCCCTGTTTCAAAAATTTCTTCAGCAAGTCCTCACTTAATTTAACTAATTGCTCATTTTCCCCTCCTTCTCTTTTACATAATCGTTTACAGCTGTAATCCTCTTTTTCCTGTACCCTTGACATTTTAGCACTCATTAATTTTACAACAGTTCTTAAGATAAACTTTAAATTTCTTCCAATCTTCTTCCACCGTCTCTTTTCCCTCGTCGCGGATTCTGCCTGTCATCTCGGCCAGTCCCATGTAGTCGATCACCTTCATCTGCCATTCTTCCAGCATGGGTAGTTCTTGTGTCTTCCAATACTTTGCTAAAAGAATCCTTGCTGCTGTGGTGGCGTACATGAAAAACATCCTATCCTTCCTTGACACCAATTGGCCAACCATGCCCAGGAGAAAGGCCTCTGGTTTCTTGTGAAAGGTACATTTAAGGACCTTCTTAATTTCATTATAAATCATTTCCCAGAAAGCCTTAATCCTCGGGCACGTCCACCTTCTTTCAAATCTTATTTTATATTATACCTTTCAACTATTATGTCTCCAATTTTACCCTTTATTATCAATTTATTTAAATTTGACATAATATTATTTTAACTTCACCTTAATTCTTATAAACCATTTTTTACATGCTCCTTTCAACTATATCACTAATGCCATATTATCTTTATACCCTGCATCATTCTAACATTCATACAATTTGCAATACTTTTGTAAGTAGTCTTTAAATTTCTTCCAGTCCTCTTCCACTAGCTCTTCTCCCAGGTCTCAGATTCTGCCAGTCATTTCTGCCAATTCCATATAGTCTATCAATTGCATCTGCCATTCTTCCAGAGTGGGCAAATCTTGTGTCTTCCAATGTTTTGCTATGAGTATTCTTGCTGCTGTTGCTGCATACATAAAGAGAGTTCTGTCCTTTTTTGGCACCATTTGGCCAACGATGCCCAAAAGAAAGGCCTCTGGTTTCTTGGGGAAGGTACAGTGGTGCCCCGCAAGACGAACGCCTCGCAAGACGGAAAACCCGCTAGACGAAAGGGTTTTCCGTTTTGGAGGCGCTTCGCAAAACGAATTTCCCTATGGGCTTCCTTCGCAAGACGAAAGCCCATAGGGAAATCTCTGGGAAGCCCATAGGGAAATCTCCAGGAAGGCTGCTCCGAAGCCTGGCGGCGGGG